CTGAATATTACATTATATAAATCCATTATTTAGTCAATGTGTTGTAATTGTCAATTTATAATATTAGCATGTTATTATTATATTATTAATACAATAGTATGTAGGTTTAGGCAGCATCAGTGATGTTCACACACTCTGTCTAGAGTGTGTGAAATATGTAAGTTTAGCTGTAGTTTAGATTTTTTGTAATATTTTGCTACTTTTTCTCAAAGTACTGATGCTATACTGTTATACACTCGTTTTATTGAAGACAAAATAAAAATGCAAATAAGACATAAATAGCAGATTAGCAGTAATATTTGAAATTTAAAGTCTCTATTTTCCTTCAGTTTTTATGTGTAAACACTTGGCATTTCATGCTAACCAGTCTGCACACATTTACTGAAATATTTTATGGACAACAGTCAGTGATTCCACACAAATTTTTTCCCAATTTTATTGTGTTAAGCATTCTGACCCGATCCATCGGAATGTGGTGATTGAATGAACTCACAGATGAACCTTAAACTGGATTAAACATTGCTATTCAGTCCATAAGATCAACAAAAAAAATTGATTATACAAATTATAATGTTTCGCATATTGCATTTGGCATAATGAAGAAATCATCTGATAATGGATACATTACAAACCATGTGCATATGGATCATGTATATATCAGATTAAGATAATACTGGCAGGTCAAAGTCCAAGAAATACAGTCCTTTGTAAGGCAGCAACACTGCTCACATCAGCAATCAATTCTCCCCCAACCTCCAAAAAAGCACTGAAAAAATTTACTCTACTTTTCTTTCTTTTTGTTAGGTTACAGGTATTTATTGGGCAATGATGACAAGTGGTTGCTCACCATGTTTGTGGGAACTTGCTTGTAAACAAATGATAATTCTATGATTCTGTGGAGTATTTTATCGGATACAAAGATTTGAAGTATACTCTGACAGTTTAAATGTGTAAAGACTGAGACTGAGACTGAACAAATCAAACAATATCAAATTCAGTTCCAACCAACTAATTGTCATTTGTAAAATATTATTTACAGATACACATGTACAACTGTGGCTGCATCAGCCTAAATAAATGAAGATACTCATGTTTTTTCAGTACAAAATCTAAATTAATACAACAGTGGAATGGCTCTGTGTTTGCTCTGCCTTTTGCATGGTACTATGTTGTAAAGTGCCTTTAAAGACAAATAAAAGTCCAAGTGTCAGTGATGCTCCACTGGGCTGGCTTTATCAGAGTCTTCTAGTCACGTAGTGCTTCTCTGCATGGCCCTCGTTATAGTGACGTCTTCAACCTCTTCACCTTTCTCCTGAAAGGAGACTGATCACTACTTCTTAGATGGATGCTATAAAACTGGAACTTTCACTGTGAAGAGAACAAAAAAATACAACACATTTTGTATCTGTATCTCTGTGTGTGCGCCCAAGATGTTGCATTTACAGTTATAGCTCTCCCAGCGACATTTTGAGGTGTTATTGTATGAAAAAACAGCTATTAATGATGACTAAGCTCCACTTAGCAGGGGATGTTCACTGTTACAGTGCATCCAGAGAGTATTCACAGTGCTTTACTTGTTCCACATTTTGTTACAGCCTTATTACGGGGCGACCGTGGTTCAGGGGGTTGGGGAGCGTATCTGTAACCGGAAGGTCGCCGGTTCGATCCCCAGGCTCTCTGTCCTGGTTGTTGGTCCTTGGGCAAGACACTTTACCCTACTGGTGTTGGCCAGAGGGGCCGATGGCGCAATATGGCAGCCTCGCTTCTGTCAGTCTGCCCCAGGGCAGCTGTGGCTACAACCGTAGCTTGCCTCCACCAGTGTATGAATGCGAGAGTGAATGAATAGTGGCATTGTAAAGCGCTTTGGGTGCCTTGAAAAGCGCTATATAAATCCATTATTATTATTCTAAAATAGATTAAATTCTTTCTTTGTGTGTGTATATGTCTCTGTGTGTATATCTATATAACTATAAAATAAACTAGACTGTTTATTTTTCTTTTGAAAAACTTAATAAAATATATTAAGGTGATCTTGAATCAGTCCAATTTGAACAGGGGATCATAATTACTGGATCTGTTTAGATAAACAAAACTGCATCAGTCTACAAAAGAACAGCGTAAATGAATGTAGTATAACTTTTTAAGACATTACACATTTGTGACACATTTTAAAAATATACATTTGGAGTTGAATAAACAAACTTGGTCGTCATATGGGCTTTGTTTCCAAAAACACAAATTAAGCAACTATGGAAATACACACAAATAGGAAATTTAAAAGTCCAATATGAAGAAGGTACTAACTGTCAAAGGCATGTTCACAGATGAAACCAATGCGGTCAGTGCAGTAAAAGTCATTCCAGTTGGCCTCATGGATAAGGCCAGCACAGTCCTCGCCGTCTTCGTGACCATGCTTCCAGTTATCAGGTTGGCCAGGCTTCCACTTCCTAAAAACAACCACAAAGACACTTGGTTACACTTTGTTAAAATTGTCCTGTACAGTTAAAATACATACACAAATTTGCAACTCACGTGAAAACTGGTATGGTTCCATCTACCCACTTCCAGACATTTTCCTCCTCTCTGTCACTCAGTCCAAGCCAGAAATATCCTTTTCCTGTGATGGCTTTTTTTACAAATTGCTAGAGGTAGAATAGAAAAGAAGATGTAACAAGAAAAAATGTTTATAATAATGTTTTATGTCAATTTGTGCAATTGTTTAAAATTAGCAATAGCTTTATATGGAATATATGGATGTAATTGAATTTACCTGTTCTTCACTGTTATTGATAATGAGCATATGAGCTGAACGATTAGTACAAAACCGGTTGGCCTCATCAAAGTTGAGCCTCTGTGAACCAGAAGAAAAGTAATAGCAGCTGTCTCCAAAGTTTCTGAATTCACGTGGACAACCTGGAAGAATGAATTACCACATACATGTTATCCAAGAAAACAAAATCACTAGAGATGCTGTTTAGATGGTACAAGGTATCAACATTTACAAAAATGTCCTGGTCTAATTTATCTAATCACTTCATTCTATCCATCCATCCATTCGCTTCCGCTTATCCTTTTCAGGGTCGCGGGGGGTGCTGGAGCCTATCCCAGCTACCATAGGGTGAGAGGCGGGGTACACCCTGGACAGGTCGCCAGTCTGTCGCAGGGCCAACACACAGGGACAGACAACCATTCGCGCTCACATTCACACCAAAAAATCTAAATTGCCCTGAGGCAATTTAGATTTTTCAGTTAACCTATCCCCACAAAGTGCATGTCTTTGGACTGGGGGAGGAAGCCGGAGTACCCGGGGAGAACATGCAAACTCCACACAGAAAGGCTGGAGTGATGCTCAGGCTGGAGTGAACTCAGGACCTTCTTGCTGTGAGGCAACAGTGCTAACCACTGTGCCACCGTGCAAGATTCTATTTTATTTTATTTATTTAGCACCAAATCACAACAACAGTCACCTTAAGGCACTTTATATTGTAAGATAAAGGCCCTACAATACCCTAATACAGAGAAAACCACAACAAATAGACAACCTCCATCAATAAGCACTTGGTGACAGAGGGAAGGAAATACACCCTTCTAATAGGAAGAAACCTCGAGCAGAAGCAGGCTCAGAGAGGGGCAGCCAACTGCCATGAACGGTTGGGTTTGATGAGAGTGAGACAGGACAAAACTCACCAGGCTTTGGACTTGTGGCAACAGGAGGCTGGACCGACACAGAGCCCTGTGGTTCCTGTACTTGTTTAGAAGGTTGAGATGGTTTGGGAGGTTGAGTGACCGGACGGGGCTGAGTGGGCTGAGGTGGCTTTACAAATATGGGAGTTCCAGGAAGTCCTGGGAGACCGGGAGGACCTGGAGGGCCCATGGGTCCAACAGGCCCACGGGGTCCTTCCATACCTGAAGGTCCTGCTGCTCCTCTGGGCCCTTGTGGCCCGGGCGGTCCTGGCATTCCGGAAGGTCCATCCCTCCCAGGAGGCCCTGGA